TCAAAAAATGCTTTTATTTAGGTCATAATCTGATAAAATGCTAGAAACATGTAATAGGACTGGGGTAAATCTCAATTAGACTCTAATTCTCCTCTTCTGTTTGCTTTTTTTCTAGGATAAGAGGACATCAGAACTCAGCATTTTCCCATGCCTCCAAAACCTATGGTTTACATTGACTACTGATAGTACCCCTGTGGACCAGGAAGCAAATTGCAGAAAGGTGGTGTTGACCTTATCACAATAATGCTAAGGGTGGCCTTCAAGCCACAAAATAGCTTCAAGGCCACCAACATCCCTTAGGACACAGTGCATCTCCTGCAGCTGCCTAAAAGGATATGCTTGAACACCCACATGCTCAATTTATGTGGTAACTGCCTCTTAGGTTGTGACTGTCCTTTGCTCTTTGCCCAGAGCCTTGCACCACGTGGCATCAGGCTGCTGTGGGGGCTGCCCAGCTGTGCAAACAATCCCGTGGGCACCAGCACCAGCTCACACAGCAGTGCTACCACAGACATGGCCCCTTGGCTCCCTCTACCACTCTGGTACTTCAACACTAGTGAATGATCTCACTTCTCTCTTTTCTTTTGATTTCTTCCCTATTCACTTCTTTTTGTGTATACTCCTTATTTTCCTGCCTACTGGTTTTTTTTTTCTCTGTAGAAAGAGAGCTGCAGCTCTCTCTTCCTTTAACTTACCCTGTGCTGATCTCTTCTTCTCTTCTCTTCTCTTCTCTTCTCTTCTCTTCTCTTCTCTTCTCTTCTCTTCTCTTCTCTTCTCTTCTCTTCTCTTCTCTTCTCTTCTCTTCTCTTCTCTTCTCTTCTCTTCTCTTCTCTTCTCTTCTCTTCTCTTCTCTTCTCTTCTCCTCTCCTCTCCTCTCCTCTCCTCTCCTCTCCTCTCCTCTCCTCTCCTCTCCTCTCCTCTCCTCTCCTCTCCTCTCCTCTCCTCTCCTCTCCTCTCCTCTCTTTCTCATAATCATTTGAGCTTTTACTATTTCTGCCATTTTTTATGGCAAAATAGACCATATGGCCATACCCACATCCAGTTCTTGAGGACCCCCTCACACCAATGTATACTCAGCACAAAGCTCATGTGAGGCCAGACCATGCTACATAATACAGGAAATATGAAGAATTTGAAGGCTGGGATGGAACTAGTATGAATTATCCAGTCAACAAAAGGAAGGGAGTAAGCTAGAGTGAGAATAAAAAATATCTATACTCTACAGTATTTTTGGAAAAGATTTAGTGTGTTTAATTTAAGAGTTCTGGAGTTCATTTCCCCTAGCTAATTACAGAATGGAATCTTCCTTAATAACTCATTAAAGATGAGTGGAAGTAGTAACAGAATACATTTTTTTCTTGCATACTTAGCAATGGAAACATGAACATAATAAACTAATCAAGCTTTAAGGGGAACATATGCATATGCAGTAATGCTACAGCCACATCAATGCAGTTCATCTACTAAATGTCCCCTTAGCAGGTCAGGATTAGTTATATTTTATGTCTATGTCATAAATGTAATAGATATACCACTGTGTTCATACCAGCAGTTAAATATCATTCTTTGTTATTAAGTCCGATACCTATGTGATAATGTCACTGGAAATTATTATTACAGTAGACAGGGACTTGCATGACCCCTGCTGGGTTGTCTTTTCCAAGCTCTGTAAGTGAACCTTGTAATCTGCAAAGTCCTTTTGAGAGATGAATAATTAAATTCTTACAACCGTGCAATTTGTTACAATAAGGCAGAAATTCTTATTTTAATTTCCTATCCTGTTCTCAGGAAAAGTAACAAAGAGATGCTGGATTCCACCTGGCATTTTTACTCCTTGTTGCAAGTTGTTTGCCTGAACGCAGGGAGATTAACGAGAAAACTTGTCACATTGTTGAAATAACACGGTTGTCATTGACCTCAGGACGGTCTTATTTTTAAAACTAAAGTATTTTCTTAAAGAATAATATAACTGTATAGTGAGAAAATACCTTGCCTAAACACAAGTTACATGTGAAATGTAGGGCTGCCTTATTTGATAAATTATATATATATATATTTACGTATTATACCACAATATATTATATATATATTTTTTATATGATATAGATTTTGTTTCATGGAGAACTTAGTGACCAAAGGAGGATTTAACGCACAATTTTTGAGGCACACTGCCAAGTGACAGCAATTTTCACTTGTTCAAAATACCTGTTTACATTAGGTTATTTAAATTATAACCTATATCTTAGCAGAACATGGAAAGACGGGAAGTAAGTTTTGACTTTACCCACAACAAATTCAGCAGAAGGATGTCTGGATCCAGTAGAGATACCAGTTGGGATCAGAGAGAAGGAGAGAGCTCATAGGGACTGTACAACCTGACCACAGACAAATGGCATAGACTCTGGCAAGGCTGCAGCAAGCTAAAAGGCTGAAGCCGTGCAAACAGGCAGCGCTCCCAGAACACTGATCTTCATTTCTTGCTCCCTGTCCATGGTTTCCAGCCCCAAACAAATCTGTATCACGCAACAAACCAGGTGATAAATGGAGGTGCACATCAGCAGCCCTCCTTCACACTAGCAGAAAAGATAGCTGCTTCTGATATTAGATACTGTCTCCGGGTTTTGTTGCATAATAGGTAGACAGATCTATTTCCAGACATTTTCCTGTATCCCCTTTGGGGAAGAGAAATTTACTGTCCTTATGCTCTACACATTTTAGTGTGACACGATCATTTCACTTGTCCCCTTGAAAGCAAGGCATCCATACTGCGCCATCCATCTACCTCTGAGAAGTAAAATATGGCTCTTAGCAAGATCTGGATACTGTATCCCTCAACAAGACTCCTCCTAATGAAAATACAGCCCCTTAGGCCCTAGCAGTAGCAAAGTATGTGCTGATATACAGATGACATATTTCCTGGTTAGTTGCAAAAAGAATAGTTGTAATTTACCTTATAAAAATACAAAAGGAATCCACCCAAAAAAGAGGAAGGTAGTTTTATTAACTCAGCACTTCTCAAACAGCTCCTTAGTAAAAATGTAAGTATTATTATAATACTTACATTTACATAATGAAATAAAAATACAGTTACATAATGAAATAAAAATAAAACTTAATGGCTCCTATTAAAATACAACTAAAGCAAACCACTGTTTTTTCAGGGGCTGAGATCTTACAGGAAAAAGACTAAGGAATGACTATGTCTAAATAAGGCTTTAACTATTGAAAGCAACAGCTACATTACAGCTTATATATCCATCGGTTGTAACATTCACGTTTGTGTAATAAAGCCTCCTTTATATGTAGAAGTTTAGTTGCCTCACATGTGTGTGGGAGTAGCTAGTCCTCTCTTTCAAAAGAGGACTTCTCCAGAAAAAGCCTCATGAAGAGTAATTTCTTACTTACCTAAAGGTAAGAACTAGAAAGAACAATAAAAACCAAAGGAAGAGCTGTTTTCAGGAGATCCAGCAGACTTGTTATTTTTTAAATATTTTGTAGGACATTCAGGGGCAGGAATAGGAGAGGAGAGCAGATATACAGGCAGGTTGAGTAGGTGTACAGCCACCGCCTCTATTTTCAGCTGGCAAAAACCTTCAGCTTTGGCAATACAGTGTCTTCATCTTTCTGTGCAGTACAAGTTCCTCCGACGAGACTGGACTGCCCAGGGCACTGGTGGCTAACCTATTGTTTCTAAACTGGTTTGCCAGGTTGCTGGTTCATATATAGCCTAGGAAATTAAAGTCATGGCCTGTGTGAAATGAGCCACATTTTAGCCATCAATTACCTGGTAGAGGCCAGTCCAGATGGCTCAAATAATGCTCTTGGCTGACAGCTGAGAAGAGATGCAAGACTGAGCTGCATTCTCCTCCTCAGGGACAGAGTCCTAGGTTTGAAGAATAATATGAAAATTTTGGGGCTTCTACATTATTCCTTCTATTTATAAGTTTAGCTTCTGTTTGGCTATAATAAATGAACTCAATTTTGAAAGAGAAAACAAAGGGAAGCTGTAGGATTGCAGTGGAATATTAGGCAAAGCCTTGTAAGCATTCCCCAGTAAAATGACAACTGTAAAGCTGTAGCAAACTCTCTTCTCTCCCAAACCTATCAACCAGATTTGGGGGAAATGGCTCAAGATACTAAACAGGTATGTGCAGAAGCACAGCTTTTGTACATCATCAAGAAAAACAGGGGACTCAAGGAACGATTCATTTAGTTTGGGCACATTTAAAGCTAGATCCAGTGAAGAACTAGGCAGATTTGAATAGCAGGTGATAAAGTTTCCTGATGCAAAATGAATTGCATCTTTCTGGCTTAAAATGCAGGCAGGCAGTAACAATCTCCATCTGCTGACCCACACAGGCAAATAGCTCAATGCCTCTGACCTGGTGCACCATGGAGAAGAATGAATGCAAGAGTTACAATTCCAGTAAGCAGCAGAGCTCTGAATACACAGCTGCTGCAACACGTAAACTTTGACTTAGGTGGCTGTTAGCATCTCAATGCCTTGATTAACAAGAAATCCGAATCCATCTAGAATTAAACCAACAAGCTCTTGCTTTGCTATGAAAACCTCTTTTCCATAAAACCAAGTCTACTGGCACCCAAATGGACTGAAATTACTGAGAAACCAAAATCAGATTTTGTGACTCTTAAATCACCCGCTGTATCCGGAGCTATGGAGTTGATGGCACAGCCTCACTTAACCAAGAAACCTCCACCCTTCAAGGAAGAGATAACTTAAGCTGGACCGCTTTTCTCCGGTAAGCGATGTGCAACAAGCTAGCAAGATGGCCCGGGCATCTCGGGGACACGGGCCTGAAAACAGGTTAGGGTGACCTCGTTTCGACAGCTGCGGCTCGGGGCTTCGCCACCCGCCTGTCCCTCCGACAGCGGAGAAGGCAGAGTCCTACCCGGCGGCTGGACACCCGCCCGCCGGGCGGGGCGAGCGCTTCCTGGCGGCGCCGGGAGCGGCTTGTCCTGGGCCCTCCAACAAACGGAGGATGCCGAGGTCAACCACGGCTCCCGACACGTTTCCTCCGGCAGGTCCGGGGAGGGCCATGGCAGCGGGGTCGGCACTGGAGCGGGACGGCGCGGGCAGCAGAAGCCAGCCCAAGCCAGGCCGAACGCCACCACAGCCGCAGGGGCAGCCCGCGCCCCTCAGCCCGCCGCGTTCCGCCGCCGGCATGAGGCGGGCGGGGCCCTGGTGCCTGCTCCTGGCTGCGGCCTGCGCCCTGGGCCGGAGCCCGCCACCCCCGCGGGCCGCCGTGCGCTGCCTGGCCGCCGGCGCCTGCTTCAGCGCCCACCTCGCCAACGTCTCGTACGCAGAGGCCCGCGGCGCCTGCCACCAGCGGCGGGGCAGCCTCGCCTGGGTCACCGGAGAGCAGGAGCTGGACCTGCTGCTGGAGCTGCTGGCAGACGCGGCGGTGCCCGCGCCCGCAGTGTTCTGGGTCGGGCTGAAGAGGAACGCCTCCGCCTGCACCCACAACGAGCAGCCGCTCCGCGGCTTCTCCTGGGAGGGCGTCGGGGGTGGGACGGCCCCGCAGGAGGTGCCGGCTGCGCTCGGCCGGTGGCTCCAGGAGCCCCTGCCGTCCTGCATCACCGCCCGCTGCGCTGGGCTGCACCTGGCGCCTTTCCCCAGGGGCGACCGCAGATGGGGCTGGAAGGAGCAGGTCTGCCGGCTGAAAAGCCCGGGCTACCTCTGCAAGTACCAGTACGAGGGTGCCTGCCCCGACCTCAGTCCCACGGGCGCCCTTGACCTCGGCTATGGGCTCCCCTTCGAGGAGCGCAGCGGCGGCCCCGGCTTCAGCCCGCCGGGCACCGTGCTGACAGTGGCGTGTCCCGGCGGGGAGGTACGGCTCACCTGCCAGCCCGAGCCGGGTGGCTTCGCCTGGAAGGCGGCAGAGAAGCCCCTCTGCCCCTGCCTCTTCGGCCGCACGACCCCCGACAGCGGGCGGTGCGCCGAGGTCGCCGGGTGCCGCGATGCCGCCGGCGGCTTCGCCTGTGCCTGCATCCCGGGCGGCCCGGACGGAACTCCCTGCCCGGGCACGGCGCCGGCCCCCACCGCTACAGGTGGCCCCGCCGAACCGTCGGATGCCGGGGTGGAGGGGCAGCGTCCTTCCATCCCGACACCCGGCAGTTCCACGGAGCCGCCCGCCACTGCCACGGCCGCCGCCGGCGAAGAGAAGACGGCTGCTCCGCCGCCTTCTTCCTCCTCCTCGTCCAACTACGTTTTCATCCTGGTGACGGTCGCTGTGGTGGTGCTGGTCATCCTGGTCATGACCGTCCTGGGGGTGTTCAAAATCTGCTTTAACAAGAAGTCCGAGGGCCGCGGGGACAAGGAGCCGCCGGAGGCCGGCAACAAGGCGGAGGCAGGCTCCGCGGAGCCCAGCGGAGCAGCGGGCGGTGAATAGCCCCGGACCGCCGAGGCCGCGTCCCTCGGGGCTGCCCCGAGCGGCAGCTGCCACCCGGGCCAGCGCTCGGCTGCCCACGTCCCCCCTGCCCCTGCCCTGCTGCCGCGGGGAGCCGAGGGAGAGGCGCCGCGGGACTTCGCTGGGCAGGGCTTGGACATAATCAAACGCAGGAGAGCACAGCGATATTCTTTTGAGGGGATTGAAGTCTTTGGACAGTCGGAGTTTTTGTCGGTCTGAAAAAGAGTTATTTCGGTGCTGATTTCACTAAAATATAAATAGATCAGCCTGGCCGACAGAGCGATTGCAGCTGCAACAATTGTGCATTTTTATCCTCTCAGAAGCTGTTCGTCTGGTGCCTTACTTGGAGCAAGCATAAAGTGGGCCATTTTGAGCACTTGCATCTTGTAATTTACAATTCACTCCTTGCCTGAGTGGTACTTGGAGGCTCTCGTTTTCAGTCTAATTGCTGGAACTTTTGGAGAGGTGAACTGCCATAATTTTGGGTGAAACTGCAACCCATGTGCTTTCATACTGACATTCTTAAAAAATGAAAGAGCATTTCTATACTTAGAAAGTCATTAAACTGCTGAGGAAGTGAGAGGTTAATGGGGAGTCAGTTTTATACTTCAGCTGATGAAAAGAATAAAAGATAATGTAAATCATGTTTGTTACTTCATACTCATTTTTATTGTAGCAGAGAATAATTTTTTCAGTTACAGTTTTTCTCCTAAGTTAGGTAGTTACAAAACTTGCTTTTTGTGTGCAATATGTGGCTCCCTTAGAAGGAGACAGACAAGGTGCTGACACACCACACTGCGTGAGGAGTTAACGTGAGTCCAAATACATCATGCAAATCTCATTCTCTTTAGTCAGATATATTGTTTTCCGTGGGGTCCCTGGAGAATAAGGAAAGATTCACTGTTCGTGCCCTTTTCTAAATGAGGTAAACACTTCCTCTGTGATTTCCCTTGGGAATTCCTGTAGAGGAGCTTTCAACCTGGCTGCAGAAGTTGCTTTCTGTGCAGTTCAGAGTGCTGATGCTCACTTATTGTTATTATGGTGTTGGTTTTCAATTAAAGTTGTAATATTAAATATTGATTCAAGGTTTTCTGAGTGCAGTTATACATATCTAAGTGGTCTCATCCAAGCCCTTTGGGGTGCAGGGAGAATAGGGAAATATTTTCTTCCCTTAAGAGAACTTTAATCTCTGAAATATCTCTTTAAATACACTTGCTTGTTTGTTTGTTTTCCTCTCTTGAGAGCTGACATTCTTACTACTACTTTAATTTTGACACTTTCCTGTTGGGTTTGAAGAACTCTGTTTAAAAATAATGCGTGTTATTATTACCTATTTTTCTTGCAAGCAAAGACTTGATGATAAATATGGTGTAATCATCTGCTAACGATAAATAATTACATAAGTAGAAGTTTTTTATTTTTTTCTCTCTCTCCCTTTAATGATGATAGGCAGTTGCCATCTGGGAAACAGTCTTTTGCTTTTGGTAAAGAGGTCACTGGTATTTGTGAGCCATCAGACTGACTGTAGCCATAAATTCTCCTGTATCATGACAGGAATTAAATCCATCTAGGTGAGAATGCTGCTCATTACAAGGTGACTCATAATCTGCATACTTTTAAAATCTGTTTATCTGACATTTATATTTCGGAAGGCAGGCATTTTTCAGCTTGGGCAGGAAGCTTGATTCTACATTCAGATGTGCACAGATTTGGAAAATCGCTTAGCCATTAATGCCTTATTTCTTAATAACGTCCCTGTTGCTGCCAGTGTAAGTAATTTCTTTTATGGGATGGTGTGTGTGGAGCTCTCTTCTTCTATTGGGGCTGTATAAGCAAATAGCAGCTAAGATGAATGAGAACCTCTCTAAATTATATTTTTGTATGTTTTAGTCTTCCTCTCGTATCAGATAGCTGAACTCTTCTGACAGTCTGATGGGACTGTCCAGGTGTGTTTTTGAGTCTCTAGAAAGTCTTTCATTCTCTGTTTCTGTTGTCTTACCAAGCACACAATTAAGTGCTGAGTTAAGCACCTGCCTACTTATTTTGACATCTCTCAGTATATGACTCAGACTATTTAGTTAAAATATACAAGTTCATGCCCTTGCAAGGCATTCACCTGTCTCATAATTCCCATTTCCCTCTTCCTGTGAAATCATGTTTTGATTTAAGAGTTCTGTTTCTCACACAATTCAGGATCATTAGACATTTGTCTAGAGGACTACACAAGGGTTCTACTGTGTTCTCCCCAGCTTATAATTTGACTCATGTGAAACCAGGCTGTTTTGCATCTAAGGATGGGATCCATCTTACCATGCATAGATATCTCCAATAATTGATCTAGACTTTTTTACTCACCTAGACACCTGTACTGCCTATCAAGAGAAATATGTGCTTGCAATTAATCTCATTTTAGACTAGATGCTGAAAACAGGACCTATGAATTACATCCTGAAAGTGCCCTTTCTCTGCATCGACTGAAAGAAGGCATATGGAGGCTACTTATATTTAAATGCCTGTAAAATACACATTTAAAATTAAATCAGAAAAATCAGCTCACTTAAGTCTCCAGCTGTGCAAGTCACTTTTCTAAAAGCAAGCTCATGGTGCCTTCTGTCTCTTCAAGACGTGGCTAAATGGTCATAATTTTATTATTGCTTTTATTGCTTTTACGTGTTAGAGATTCTTGTTCAGTATGTCTGGGGTTTTTTACCTTATTTTTGCAGTCAGTAGAATGCAAATCAAATAGCATTTGCAGTTGTTTGGAACCTGACAACTTTGAAATGCATGAATTTATCTTTCTCTATTGTTTCAGACCAAAAAGAAGATGTTTTGGGAGAAATGACTGATCATTTTTGCTTTCCACTCTTGATCAAATTGGGTCTTTAGTGAATAAGAAACCAACACATACCTGTCATGCAACCATTGGTTCATATCACAACCATGATTCACTGGTCTGCAAGGCAGATACAGAGCAGGGTTTGCTGTTTACATCCATAGAAGGAGAATAAGTAAGATCATGATGAGTACAGATAATCATAACAAGTACTGAGATAATAAAAGTGTCTGATTATGAAAATGGATGCAATTTTAATAAAAATTATTATGTAACACTCTATAGAAAACCCACAATCAAATGCAAGCATTTTTCCAAAACATGGCAAAGATAGAGACAAATCTTTTCTCTCATGTTTTACACATGCACATTGAATAAACATTATATAAGCACATTATATTCCAACTGTTTTTCCAGCATAAGAAAAAATATTATTTCATCCCATATTAAAGCCATATAAATCACATATAAACTTTGTATCAGTGAGTTTTACAATGCTTACATTTGTAATGAAATGGTGATAGCAAGACACTGTTACTATACATTTGAAAATGGTGATTCCTTCAAAGAATAGGAATGTGCAGATCTCTTGTCTATCACAGTTATCCAAAAAGTGTCCCATGTTGCCAATTTTAGATTTCCTTAATTCCTAAAAATATAGTTTCACTGGTAGGCAAATAATTTGTCAGCTGCATATTTTACTTATGAGCAAGTGATGAATTTTTAATGGTTTGTTTCATCAAATAAAAAGAAATAAAACTTTAATTTCTACATGTTTAAAAAATAATTATTTATGCTGCTAAGGGCTTAATTAGGTGTTCTGTGGGATTGAAATGAAATCTCTAAGTGGACATGAGAAAAATTTGAGTACTTCTGACAACACTTCTCCTTGTTTAAGTGTATCACATAGCTTAAAGAATATTAAAAATATAATGGATTCTGTGCTTCCCCTGGAAACTCCCTATCACTTAATTTTTTTCATGTTTTAAATCCCAATTTTCTTTCCTCATTATTACATGGAGGTCAATCACTGGTAGATGCAATGTAGCTCCTTCTAGAAATATTATTTTTTTTATTTCTTCAGTTTGTGGACACTTAGCAAGGCTGTAGTATGGCAATTCATATATTTCACTAAAGATATATAATTGGCTTAAAAGGCAAACACAGCAGGGCAGCAGCAACAGTAACCACAGTCCCAGGGCTTCAAAACATTAAACTTAGTATCTTTTCTTCTTCCTCCAGTTCTTCTGCCCAGTATGCAGCCTTGTCCTTCTCTTCTGGGCTTGTAGTCGGGGATGCAAAGACTTGAAAGTGGATGTGTAAAAGGAATCATCTAGCAAGCAAATCTTTTCCCTTTTCTGTATTGCTGACTAGAATCACAGAATCATAGAATGGTTTGGGATGGAAGGCACCTTAAAGACCATCTTGTTCCACCACCCTGCTGTGTGCAGGGACACCTTCTACTAGACCAGGTTGCTCAGAGCCCCATCCTGGCCTCGAACTCTTCAATGGATGAGGCATTCACAACTTTGCTGAGAAAACTGGTCCAGTGTCTTGCCACTCTCACAGCAAAGAATTTCTTCCTCATGCCTAATCCATTCCTACCCTCTTTGTTTGAAGCCCCTCCCCTTTGGCCTGTCACCACAAGCCCTAGGAAAATGTTCTTCAACTTTCTTGTAGGTACTGGGAGGTTGTTTGTAGGTACTGGAAACCTTCTCTTTTCCAGGCTGAACAACCCCAACTCTTTCAGCCTGTCTTTGTAGGAGAGGTGTTCTAACCCTCCTCTGGACTCCAGCATGTCCACATCCTTCTCATGTTGGGAGCTCCAGAGGACAGCACAGTACTCCAGGTGGAGTGGAAGCGGAAGTGGAGCTGGGGAATGCAGAGGTGTGGTGGTGGTCCTGCATTTGTTATGTACTTCCCTTCCTTCCACCTGCCAGTCCTTTTGCATTCTAAGTCAGAAAAATGGGGAAACAACCACTCTTATGTATTTTAGGGGTAATATTAGAGAAAGAAGACTGCAGGTTCACAGAGAGGATGAGCTGAGGAGGGGAAGATGAGAAAGACAGGCAAGCATCCATCTTTACCAGGATGTATCTGTCCTAACCATCTTCTTGCTGCATATGTTTTCAGGTGTTCCTCAAAATGTGGTAGTTTGCAAACAAATAAATATTTTCAGTCATTAAGCCAGGAACAGCATATGGGTTATAACCTGTCAGAAAAGCATGGTTTTGTTTTTGGAATGTAACCAGCAGGCCTTGTGTTTTTGGCTGATAAGAATGATTTACACTGTTCTCTGGAACATAGCATAAGATCATAATTACAGATAGCTTGAGTGGGATTATAAGTGATCAAAGTCTTTAATGCCTGTGCAGAGGAATGCGTTACATTACTTTTCATTTTTAGGAGTATATCTTTCTCTAAGGGAAAGGATTTTTCTCAGTCATTGGAACCTGAGCAACTTTGAAGATTCTGCTCAAATAAGAAATACTGTAAATTTTACTTTATTACAGTGAAAGGGCAGTGAAAATTCTTCTGTATTCAATTTCTGTCTTGTCAATATGAGATTCTTTTTGATTTGTGTTAAGGAAAAAAATTATTAGATCTTTTTCTCTATTTTAATGATAAAGGAAAAAAAATCTGTGAAATTCAGTGTCTGAAAAATTCACAGTAAATTAACATTCAGAAAAATCTATTATCTATCTGCTTCTGCCTTGTTTTCCTGAGTTTCTTGTAATTCCATAAAGTATCTAAATTGTCATTTAGTTGTTAGTAAAAATGCCTAGATACTTTCTAACCTTCAAAAATAACAGTCAGATTGGAAAACAGCATCTGACATAAAAAGCACAACTTCATATTTTTTGCTGAGTTGGGAGTTTGTGTATTTGCTGTACTCTAAACAGTGGAAGTTAATTATGTGAAAGAGCCAAATTCCTGCTTTGCAATGCCTGTACTGGACTCTACTTACTTTCTTCTGTTCTTAACAAAATGGCCTCTCCCAGCCATCACATACCTGATTTTTCTCCATATCAGATTCCTTCTCTCTCAGTCTGCAGAGAGAGAAGGAATCAAGTATCCACCACTTTGGCCTTCTTTTATATCCATTCTCCCCCAAATATCCAGCTTTGCCATGTTTTGGACCACTCCAGTTGACCAGCAATCCCTTGGGCTTTCCATTGTGAATCTGAGCATGGGCAAGCGCTGTGTGCCTGAGTTGAGCTTGTGCCACACTCAGCCCGTGGCAGCAGCACTGGTGTCACCTGGCATTGCTCAGCTTCATGAAGTGCAGTGCAGTCCAGCACCCTCCAGCAGCTTCCCCTGGGCTGGTAGGGCCCACACGTGCACTGACAACAGCACTGTCACCAACAAGGTAAGTGGAGACCATACAATCCTGTTCCAAGTCATAAATACAACACAATTCAGATCCCAAGTCAGAAATCTGGTAATTGTTATCTGTTCTACAACTTCCCTATGCTGTGAATGTGGGCACTTTTATTTGAGCCTTTCTAGTTAGGAAGCTCAAGAACCCACAGAGCAGCCCTTAGACATATTACAGTGTAAGAACCCATATAGAAAAGACATTTGGGGGGGGGGGGTGGTAATGCAGAGTAGAAGGAATTTTCTGTATATTTATATAGTTTCCAAGGTGATGCTACCCATCATAGACACCATAACCATATAAAGACAAATGTATTCCATCCAGACTGGATACAAAAACCTGTACACCTCAGGCAAGATACAGCACCTTGCTATTTCTGCTTCATAGCTGCTTATTGCTCTGCCAAATCCAGATTTTAGGCTTTTGGAGAAAAAAGTTGGAAGGGAGTGGGCATACTTAGCTTTTATTGAAAAGCATCTGTCTTGTCAAAATTTTGCTTGGTTTGTAGCTGTCTAATGATATACTTTGAAATACTCTCAGGTTAGCCTTTTTTTCTTGGCCATTTCTCTCCACAAAAAGTAATATATAAAAGCATTTTTCTTAAAGAGAAATCTAATTAGTAAACCATCCTTTCTTCCTGTAGCTTAGCCTGAAGTTATCAGCCAAATAAGGCTACATTGAAGAGGATGGAAGTGCTAAATACACAATTCAGTAGAAGTATTTTATTCTCCTCTAGAGATTCATAATTCACATTCTTGTCTGTAGAGCCCTGGTGTCAAGTAAGATTCCTAGGGACTAATATCACTGAGTTTAGAACACTGGATTGATATTTCTTTCTTGGCTAATTTATTTTGGTTTTTTGAAATTATTTTTCTTGGATCTTTTTTTAATCAGGATTATAAGACATTAAATTGTCACTGTTCTAGAAATATGGCAGAGTAAAGTCAAACCTTATATAACATGAATGTATGACATCATTGGGTTCTTTTATTTCAGTAAGACTTAGTTTCATATTTAGAATTAGGATGCTGATTTTGGTAGCAGGTTAAAATACAGCAAATAGTCAGTGTTAATGGAGAATGCCATATACATTAGAAATGCAGATTTTTAGATTTACAGAAACAACCAGAAAGGCTGTTTTAAAATTCTGATTCACTGGAAAGCTGGCATTTCAGAAATTCTTTCATCACATTCAGAAAACTGATTCTCATTCTCTGTGAAGATATCAAATGGATTCTTTAAGAGTCGAATGCAAAGAAACCATACTCAGTGTAATATTCTCTGCTGTAGGGACCATCCGAAGAGGCAGAGTATCTGCATGCAGCCATCACCTTTTTCATCCACTGTCCAGATATAAAGGGCCTCTGTGACCTTGTTCAAGTCCACTAACTGCAGGCAGCAGCCAGCCTCAGGATTCTGAGGTGTGTTGTCTTTGCTACTGCACTGGGAAGCCTGGTGAGAAAGTAAAGTGATTTCCTGTGCACCTTTGAGTGGGAAAATGCTGCAGCTGATGTGTGCTGCCCACCTGATGTGAGTTCCATGTGAAGATTGGTGTCTGGAGTACATGCACAGAAAACAGTCCAGTCCATTGACTGGGTACTGCTTGGTGCTGTCCCACTGCTGCTGGGTATAGGTCTCAGGCTAAACAAAGTGCAAATGTTGCCTGTGTTTCAGTGGCCACAAGGCCAATTTCCATGACAAAGTGAATGCAGTATTTTTAAAATATAAACCAATACTCATGGGGAGTATTGTATTGTAACCAGTATTACTCCTGGTTACAAATTACAATTTTACAATTCACCCACTTGCAGCTGTATAAAAAGGTCAAAGTGTCACCAAGAAATAAACCGCTGTACTATTTTTTCAGTGAATTAAGCACTAGTTAAAATAATTTCCATATGAAATCTGAATATTCTTATTTGCCATTTGGAAAGCATTAAAAAGAGTTCTGTTTATTTTCTAGTACACATTATTTCATGAGAACAACTTTTTATCTTTCCAGTGGTGATGTTCTACTATTCAGAATAGTAACACAGAATGAACTAACTTTCTTTCTATCTAAATTGAATGATTTACTGCTGTTGATCACCTCTCCCAGAGTGAAAAATAGCAGGAACAACTGTTAGCTTGGGATAAACAGATTTTGTTTCCAGCTGAAACCACACAGAGCCAGGAATCATAGGGGCAGTGCTGGCTGGGAGTGAATCAGCCCATCCATCTGAAGGCAGGCCTGCCATCTACTGAAGGCCCAACCCAACCTCTGCGATGTGCCTGGGAGAACTGAAACTGAAGTGCATATGCTGGTAGGTGTGCAGGCTTCCATTGCAGCCTTTGCAAGGCAAAGAGAAAAAAAAAAGAACAAAACCCAGTTCAACTTTTCATCAAAGCTGAGTATGCAGTATGAATCTCTATGCTTTTTCACTCTGGCTTCATCGTGTCTGAGATTAAACAAATTCAACAGTAAAAAGTAGACTGATTCTCTGTTTGACTAACTAATCTGACCATACATAAGAATATGCCTGGGTGAAAAGGACCACATAAGATTATGAGATTGATGCCATCTTGAAGATATTGTGAGTGAGAATTCAAGTGAAGCCCTGGAAATAGCATCATGGATATCATGGGGCATTTTACTGTTTTGACAGACATTTGATTTCTGTGAAAATTTAATTGAGCTTATAAAGCAATTTCATCCTCATTTCCCCATATGTACATGTAAAACATGACAAAATTTAATATTTGCAAGTTTTCTTTAAATCTTGTCCACTAGGAAGTAAAAGAAAAGAAACTGTACAATTGTTAAAGCTTTTCATGAAATATTTTAATAAGGATGTAACAGTTTCCACATTAGCAATTTTTAGACTAAAAGGAGTTGACTCACAGTCCATTGAAGGGAATTAGGATTTTTTTTCTCTCATTTTGATGGACTTTGAATCAGACAACTTTGAAATACTAAATTTATACATTCATTTAACAGTACCTAAGTTTTGGTGAAAGAAATGTACAAAGTAGCATCCTGCTTTTTGCTGCTGAGAAAAGTTAAAGGGTATAATTTAACAAAAAAATCTGTAGTCAATCCACCACCACAAATACTAGATGCCTTAATTGTCAACCTTACACTTTACACTGTACTTAAGCACTGCAGCTACGAGTACAATGCTATGGGTATGCTGCTACTAGAGATTTTTCCAGTCTCTTGCTTCATATTGCCAGTAGTTATAATTGATACAACCACAGTATTGTGCTAGAGAAGTGATTTGTCACAGCTGCTGGGAGACTTGCCACTGTGTGACACTATTAGCATAGGTGGTAGAAAGCAAAAAACATAGCTGCTTATTTCAACACAGTCTGTAGCAACACTTCTGTGTGGGATAAAAGGCAGTAGGGATAGAAGGTTTCATTTAATCAGCTGTCATTTATCAAAGAAAGCTTCATCTGTTTATATGAAATTTGTTTTGTCGTAAGAGAAGAAGAGAGAAAATTCAAGAGAGAATTTCTGTGGGGGAGACAATGGAAATGAAAGAGTTAGAAAAAAAGACAATGTTTTTATCTGGAAAGAAGCCTTCTTGAGCATCACCCATTTTAAATGCAACCTTGCAAGTAGCCACCACAGACATAAGTACACAGTATAAATTGCTTCAGAAAAACACGTTCACAACACAGTGACTAGAATCAAATAAAAATCAAACAAGAAGACATCTGGCACACATTAAAAACAAGAATTCTTAGAAATGAAACATTAAGAAGCTCTGGGTCAGTATATTACATTGGCAACATATGAAACCCATTTTGTTGGGTTTTTTTAGTGCAACAGAAGAAACTGGAGCTAGGGTAATAGCTATTACTGAACAGCTACTTTTTCTGTCAAGTATTTATTTCAGAGACTGGTGGAGATTTTTAAATGACTCCCCCTTTTTCCATATAGGCTAAAGTGACTTTGCCATCATCTAGGTAATTCAAAAACTGTCTCAGCTCCCTTCATTGCTGTTTCACAGCTGACGAAGCAGGCTCAAGACAGCAGATTCACAGTCTATGCTCCCTTTAAACTTTAATATCAGCACACTTTATAGTGTGTGTGGACAGATTCAAACATTTCCCAACTCAGCAGTCCCCCCAGCTCCCATCTCAGTGAGTCCCAGCCCTCTGCTCCCTGTGTGTCACGGGACTGCTTATCTCCCATCATGAGCAACCTGCTGCACAGCTCCAAAGCAAAGCAACAATCAGATTTTTTCTAAGACATTTTCTGCTCTGTTTCTGCCAAGGAGCACAGAGAGCCAAAGTCCCAGTGAGTTGGAAGCTGTCTGCAAAGCAAAAAAAAATCTCCATGACTATGCTGCTTCTTTCTTGGGGACTTTTTCCTCCCTGCTTTCTATTTTATTCCAGGGGAGGGAAAGGTAGGCACAGAGAGAGGCTACTCACTCCTTCCTGGGCGAGGGCAAGGTATGGGTTGGGGGGAATTTTTCCAGCATTTCTAATCTCTGAAGAGGAGGTGTGTACTGACAGATGTTGAGTGGGGTCATTTTCAGCTGGGGGGAGTCTGAGCCTGAATGCTGGGGCTTGACTGAAGCAGGCTCGACTCAGTGGCCTGGGGTGTTCCACCAGCCAAGGGGAAGGGCAAACTGTACAAAAGATGGAGGGAGAGAAGTCACTGCAGGACCTTTACAGCCACTTGTCAGACACAGAGAAGAATGGCAGAGCCAGGCCACCAGACCCTAAGCTACCAGACCCATGAGAGCCACAATTCACTAAGTGGATGTCAAAGCATCAGAGAATGCACTGGCTTTCAAGGGGGGCCAACAAGGGTGCAGGGGGGCAGCAAATCAAGGATGTGGGGTTTTCTTCACTCTTTCTTGCGCCAATCACTGGTGGGAGTGAGCAGGACCAAAATCCCCTCCCTCCCAGCCTCCCCATGCCACAGCCCTGGCTTCGCTCACCCTCCAGCTGGGGGGCAGTGAGGGAGCTGGGGGACAGGAATGCTTCCTCAGAGGGTGGTAATCCTGGAGGTGCAAGTGCCATTCCTGTACATGCTCCCTGACTCCAAGTTGTCTGGGGGAAAGTCCTCCACGCTGTATGCCCTGCTCTTGAGGGCAGTGGCATAGTAGTCGATGGGTTCCTCTGCAGCATTGTCCATCCAGCTGAGGCAGAGCAGCCTCTGGAAGGACCGCTTGAAATTGTCTGAGAGAAAACCATAGAGGATAGGGTTGGCACAGCTGTTGGCATAGCCCAAGATGACAGAGAGCTGGCTGATGGTGGCATCATCCTGCTCTACAAAGACATTGACCAGCTGCACAATGTAGAAGGGCATCCAGCAGATGACAAAGACCATCACCACCATCATGACCATGAGTGTGATCTTGCGCTCTGAGCGTTTGCGTTGCTGCCAGCCAGCCTTCAGGGCCACCATGCGCATCTTAGCGATGATGAGGATGTAGCAGAGGCAGATGGCCACCACAGGCAGCAAGAAGCCCATCAGAAAAGTGTAGATCACAAAGACCACCAGCCATCTCTGGGTGGGCTCTGGCATGAGCATGTTGCAAGCCACTGTTCCATCACTGTTGGCTGCTGTGTTGGAGAAGATGATGATGGGCAGGATGATGAGGATGGAAAGCACCCAGACACCCAGGTTGACCATCTTAGCCACCGTGGGCCGGCGGTACCTGGCCGCCTTGATGGGGTGCACCACGGCGATGTACCGGTCCACACTGAGCACCGTCAGGCAGTAGATGCTGGTGAACATGTTGATGGCATCCACACTGAGCACCAGGCGGCAGAGCAGGGAGCCAAAGGGCCAGTGGTGCAGCAGGGTGGAGGTAACCAGAAAGGGGACGCTAAGCATCAGCAGCTCATCCGCGATGGCCAAGTTGAGGATGTAGATGTTGGTGGCTGTCTTCATCTTGGCATAACGTAGGATCACGTAGATGACCATGGAGTTCCCGCACAGCCCCACCAGGCACACCACGGAGTAGATGAATGAGATGAGGATGGCGCTGCCCTGAGACTCACTCAGGGTGCTGTTCGGAGCGCCAGAGGAATTCCTGCCGCCCGAGTCCATGCCCTCCGCCGCCGCCTCCTCCGAGGCGCCACCGGCTCCGCCGCCACCACTGTCGCTGCCGCCGCTCTCGCTGTCGCCGCTGTCGCTGCCTGCACCGCCCAGAAGCCTGGGGCAGGTGCCATTGGGGAGCATCCTCTGCCCGGACCCCCACGCCCCGGCTCAGAGCAGCAGGCGTCCGCCGCCGGCTGCCCTGGGCATCATCCTGTCAGGGATGCCGGCGCGGCGGCTGCGGGACGCGGGCATCGGGAGAGAGGCGGCTGCAACTGCTGCTCCCCGGCTGGTGAATGATTAATAGCAGCGGCGCGTCATCAGCTAAGGAAAGAAGGAGGGAAAGAAAAAAAAAAATGCAGGAGGAGACGTAAGTGGGTGTCCCTTCCCACCCCCCTCTCCCCTTGCCCGCCTCCCATCCCGCCCTCCGGCTGTTCGCAAATCCGGCAGCTCCAGGGCAGCCTGTTCCCTGTTCCCACTGCCCCACGCTACTCAGTGCCCCCCTATCCCGCACTTCTCTCCCCACCCAGTATAGTTTCCCCCACTTCCACTGATCCCCTCCCCGTCCACCGTCCTCTCCCTCCATTCTCCTCAGCTCTCCCTCCACGGCACCTAGGTCCAGACCAGGGGCACCCCTGGCAAAGGGACTATCCTTTGTCCTTTAAGAAAAAAGCCTGGGTCTTGCATGGGTGAGCAGTGTTACCTAGGCAAGCATGCTTCATGTCTACGCAGCTGCTGTAACCCTCTCCTGTCACTGCCCGTAGGCATTGCCCACCTCGCAGCGCTGGCACCAGGCACGGCACCGAGCGACAAAGCACAAAACATTCAATCCTGTGCACTCAGCACTGTCCGTGCCTCCCAGCGGCACGCAGCTCCACACCCCCGACCTTGTCCTGTCCCACCACCAACAACTCCAGATATCACTCATGAGCAGCCCTGCCCCTCTCCACATGCTCTGTCCTGAAAGATGCCCCCCTATCATATTGTAACACCCTGGTACATGTTTTGCCTCTGTCCATCACATCCAAGAGTGAGTGAGCAATTTGCACACTGCAACTCGACACGACTATTTACACCACTGTGGTGCCAAGACCATCTCCTGCTGTCCATGCCTCTGTCCCCACACATCTGCTTCCAATCATAGGATCACTTCAAGCTCAACCACCACATGCTGCCTCACCAGTGTTAAAACCCCCTCTCTTAAAATATACTTAAAATATATAATATATTTATATAAAATATGCAAATATATATTTAATATATACTTAAAACATATGCATATCCCTGATAGGACTGTATCCACACCAGGGGAGGCTACAAACCCTCCTAAGCCTGTGCAGTGACACAAACCATTGGTACCATCTCCATTCATATTCTGCATATATGCACTACATAACTTCTTCCAGCTGTACCCACCAACTGCTTCTATACATTGGCCTATACTGTGCTGTTTTTTACATACACCCTGATTCTAGATGAACACACATACACCTGTAGTTCCTCCTGTTGTCATCTCTAGGCAGACACTGACACCTTAAACACCTCATCCTCACCACCAGTTCTAAACACACGTGAACATCTTCAGGTAGTCCTAAAGCTGCATCTCTTCTCTGGCAAGCAAATTTTTCTTAAAAAAAGAAGAGCATGACCTTCCCATACACCTCTCCTGCTGGGCAATATGTCTCTTCTCTCTACATGTTATTTTTCTGAGTATACCATCTGTCCTTACATGCTTGTACATAAAACTAAATCCCTTTTCATATACCACCATGACCATTCTCTATATACCGGCTGACTGTTCTGTATTAACCAGACATGGTTACTCACTAGTTCACCTAGACCCTCACACTTGCTCACTGCATCAACATTCCCTCAGCCGAGGCATACCCACAAAATACTCAGTAAATGCTTATTTATTCTGTTGTTTGTAGCCCCCATCTGTGTGAGCAAAGCACACCTGTTTGGTAATGACCTGTCTCTTCACATAAACTGCTGCACAAGAGCACCGCTTACTTTTGTCAAGAACAGCAGGTCCACATCACACAAATATCACCACGGTGCATATGCTGCTATATGCTCCCCACTGCACTGCTAAACTCAGCATCACACATGCATCCTTGCAACCTACTCATTTTACCGTGCATACATACCCATCACCTCCTACTGTTCACACATCTTGTTATCACCGTCTGCCCACCATCACAATTATGCATATTATCACTACCCACCACCTTAATATGCAGATACATGCAGCATTACCATCAATTGATTACGACCCATCATCAGGAATTTATTCTCTCTAGAACCATATATATCCTTCTACCTCTCATCAACACCAGCATCTATTTAAACACATGCATGTAACCTCTCTGACTGAATGACTTTGCCCATATCAGTCATCACCTCCAGTCATACACACCTAGGCACTCCCATGTGATGGGCATGTGCTCTTTGACACCTTGTCAAGAGTATTACATTTAGCACATGCATACTTTTGCATGACCCTTACCAAGCTGTTTCTTTTCCTTCCGTGTTTAAAGAGCAGATTGTGAATACATATAGATGTATATATACACCCCTACACATTAGAAAAGTAGCCTTATTCAGTTTTTAGTAATTGCACACAAGTTCTATTTGGATGACACACTTTGTGACTTTTGAGGAATTTTTTTTATTTTTATTCTAATATGGAAATGCATTTATTGAGTAGTTTTTGCAAACGATCTTACTATTGCTATAACTGTTCCTGTATATGAGGGTTTAGCTAGGTGTTTGAGCACTTGGGGATGTTATACAAATTAAAATTCATGCTTACATTTGGGTTTTAGAGGTTGTATATTCTGATGTGTTAGCATCAGGGCTTCCAGCATACAGAGAAAAAAAATTATATTTAACACCATGGAAAATCCTTTCTTGCAATGTGCTATCTGACGCTGCTCAAATTTCTGCAATTACATAAATTTAGCTGAAGATTTATCTTTAGAGTTTGTATACTAGAGAATATGAATCAGCCTTCAGTCACTGATATGAGAAGGAGCAGAAGTCAATAGCTGCAAAGCCATCAACAAGAACATCTGGTTGGTTTCAGCACTTCAGTCTCTCGGAAAACCTACAGTTCAAATACAATCCAATTTTTGTTTACATAAACATTAGTTTTGAGGGTCATTTGCTTATGGAGCAAACCAAAGGGTTTCCATCTTTCATATTGTAATAAATTGGCATTTAGACATTCATGCTATTGCCCATTTCACATTACTTTGCCATGCTTGGATTGGTCCACGCCCTGCTCCCAGAAGGGTTGGTAAAAACTCTTCTGTTGAAGTGGATGTGAGCATGGTGTTCTTTCTTACTTCATTTATTCAAAATAAATCACTTATAAATTGTGATTCCTACAACCGTAGTAGCCCCATTAGGCATCACAAACATACCTGCTTGACATAAGTGCCCAGGAAAAAGAAATGCCATCATAGGCATAATTATAATAATGTACCCTGTGCTATAGCATAGACTCAGAAGGTTTGATATCTCCATTCACTGAAGTTTCCTTTGGATACAGAAAATTTCACAATAGAGAATGATATAACCTTCCAAAAAGGAGTTGTTTGAGTGCCTGCTTAGTCTCTTAGATCAGTTCCTCTAACAAATATTACAGGTATTAATTTACTGAGAATTTATAGCTACTAATCTTTACAAATGTTCAATGTTGCTCAAGATTTTTAACCTCAACTATTTGATAAAGTAGAAATATTTGATCAGAAATAATGCATTTTATTATCTCAGTAATGATATACTGCCATTTTAAATACCAACACTGGCATAGTTTTAACATTCAAAGATTCCTTTAATGCAGAAATTCTGACATAAACCAATTCTAATTTGGGAACGTACTTAGAAATTTTATTCTTTTGGAGTTCTTTCTTTTGCCTAAGGACTTTACTGTAAGGAGTAAACCAGAGGTCTAAACTTGTGTTTATAATCCACCTGTCACAAAGTGGGGAAGGGCAGCTTGACCTTCTCAACACAGTCTGCAGGTTGGCCTAAGACATACACAGAGCCTTTCCAATTGCCCATTTTTGTTGCAACTCTTGCCTCTCATGGAAGGCAGGAAAAAGAGTTATCTCTCAGATAAACTTCTGGGCCATGCTGGGAAGTCTAGGACTAAGGCTTAGGCCATGCCTGGGGTTAGAGTTAGGATTGAGACAAGAAGCCCATAGCTCCAGGTGCAGTTGGGGTTCAAGGGGGAGGATCAGTGGTGGGGTAGTCTGTGCAAAGAGCTCACACCAGAACTCTTGGGATAACACTGGACATCCCAGGATACAGTTCATCCCATGCCTAGGCTTCTGTTAGGGTCAGGAGAGAGACAAAGCCAAGAGCTCCAGCTGAAAGGGGTTGAAAAGGGTTTAAAACCTGAATAAGGTAGGGGAAGACTCCACAGATGCTATCCCCTTACAATTTTCTCCTCTTTGCTATAGGATGGGGGCTCTGGATAGGGTAAATTCTGACCACTTGTCAAGTTCCCCCTTGGACTGGGGCTAGAAAAGAGACAAAGCCAAGAGCTCCAAGAGAGCTGAACTTTAAGAGGGACTGGTAAAGGGTGAGGAGAAGGCTGCAATTTTTTCTCTGTCCACATTCTCCTACAGGAAATGGCTGAGCTGTCAGGTCAAGGTCCATTCCAAGCACACTGCAGGGTTAGACCTAGGTGAGGCAAAGCCCAGAGCTCCACATGATGAAGCCCTTCCCAGTGATAATCAGAGTGCAATCCCTTCAGCTCCATCTGAGCTATCTGAGGTGAGAGTGCCAGTGATAATTAGAGTAGCTGGCAAACCTTTCTCCTGAAGGCTGTGTAAGGCTGACACTGAAAATCTCCAACTCAAAAAAGCCTACAAACAGCTCCCAAGGCAGATGATACCTTTTCTCTCTGTCAAGATTCATTGCACCTGTGTCATTGTGTCTCGAGTATCATGGCAAGAAAAAGCAAACAGTCATGACACTTAAAATGAGGTCTATGGTAATTCATTAAATATTTAAACCTGAGACAGTATATGAATAGTTTTCTTCAGTAACTTTCTTTTGAGCACAGCAGTGATGTGGTAATGCATGAGACTGCTCTAATTTGCATACACCATGAACCCTAAGTAAATTCAAAAGAGTTTTTGTGGGCTGAGTCATTTCAATGAGGTCCCACTGACTAATTCAGTAGTGTCTCCTATTCAAACTGTAGACACCCTGTGCACCACTCAAACCAAGTGTTTCTTAAATCTTGCTGAGAAATTA